GCACCTTGCATTTCAGTGAATGTTTACCGTGTGTGCAGTTACATTTGCTTGGTTTTTTTCCCCTGCAGTTGGGAAAGATAACAAAGATCACGTCCAAAAGATGGAATGGCCAGAATCAGCTTTAAGTGATTTGGAAACACTTCTTGGGAAACAATTCTCTATTATCTGTTGACTTACAGCCAGCAGATGGCGCTGTTACTGGCGACAGCAAAGCTGACATAGATGTATCTGCTCTGGGCCGTCCCTCTGACCTTTCTCAGTGGCACAGCCAACCCACCGGTCTTTACAAATGCGCTTTTCACAAAAGGTCAGATTTTGTGATCCTGCCACAAAGTACGCTGTGGTCAGGTGCCAGGCCCTCCCTTAGGGAGGCTGCCTGTAGCTTATGTAACCTGCTCAGGAATTCACACTGTTTCAGACCTGCCAGGAACCTGGCAGGGAGCCTGGGGCCTGAGCCAGCTTGCCCCCTCCCCGGCTCAGCACTTGGTCCAGGGCTTGTAAACATCTCTCCATCTGGCATGTTCCATCTTGCTGCCCTGCCTGGGCAAACCACAGCCACTTGTACCTTGCCTTTATGGTTGCTGGCTCCGTGACCGGTGACTGGGCTTGTGAGCACAGGTGAAGCTTCCTCAAGAGGCTGCACAAATAGCCCCGTTGCTTGTTGTTTCTTACAGTGGGCACTTGTGTGTGGTGAGGGAAAGTGGAATTGTCCCTCCATAGCTACCCCCACCCTGCAGAGGCCCTGAGGTGGGATCTCTCTCTCTCATATCAACGAGTACATTCGTTTGCAATGTTGTTTTTCACCTTGCTATGCTGTGGGTCTAGAACCGGGCCAGGTCTTCATCCGTGCTCCCAGGTCTTCATCCGTGCTCCCAGGTCTTCATCCGTGCTCCCAGGTCTTCATCCGTGCTCCCAGGTCTTCATCCGTACTCCCAGGTCTTCATCCGTACTCCCAGGTCTTCATCTGTGCTCCCATTCAGCACCGCAATCTCGGGTGTGTTTTCATTGCAGCAATGTGTGCTCATTTTTCATTGCTTTTCCCTCACGACTTCAACAGTGTTGTGAGCGTCTGGAATCACACTCGGCTCCTAGGGAGATCATGGAGGCTCTTTTGACCTTTAGCCTAGATAGTCCCACCAAGCTGAGTTGGGCCAGAGTGGCGCTTCTGTCTCTGCTGGTCATGCCCTAGTACTCTGTCTGTTTTGCTTAGAGGATTTAGGAGGGATTTTGGGTCTCGCTTGTCGGTGCCTCGCACATGGGGAGAAGGGTGGGAACTGACTGTCTTTAAGAGTTGACTAGTCCCCTTCAGGTATTGTTCTTCCTCAGCCTTCTAAGTGCTGTGGTCACAGGTGTGTGCTCCAAACACACTCAACTTAGGTACCTGCCTTTAGCTTGGGGGACTGAGCTTTTTCACCTAGTCCTGGACCCCATCATCTTAGCATCCAGTTGAGGGTGCAGATGCTTCTTCATGCAACTGTAAGGAAGCAAGATTAGGTCAAGGTTTCCAGACTGTTTACTTAGACAACACAAGGAGAAAACCACGCAGGCCTTTCCATGACCGTCAACACTAACAGCAGGATTGAGCACCAAGAACCCCTCTGCAGAAGCTCTATTTTTACATTGATTATTAAATAATATCACGTACCCGGTTGTTTATCGGCGTGCATGTGGGATTAGCTCTAGGACTTGCCTGGATGTTGAACACCTGAAGATGTTCAAGTTCCATATAAAATAGCTAAGTGCTTAGACGCAGCTCATGTATATTTCCCCATCCTTAAAACAATCTCTAGATTGCTCATCACACCTGCTAATACAACATAAACACCATGTAAATAGTTCTCTCTGTTGATTAGGGAATGGCTATGAGGAAAAAGCCTGTGTGTGCTCGGAGGGGGATTGAATCTGTAGGTATGTAGTAGTCTGCAGTAGGGATGGGATAGCGTACATCTGACCATGGAGCTGTCGCAAAGAGCTAGATTTGCAAGCTTTCTTAATACTTCTTAGCTATAGCCTCCGCTATTCGTCTTACAGCTAGAAAGTGAAAGGTCCCAAGAGGATGAACGTCCCTGAAGGGTTCGGTGCAGATGTTCTTAGGTGCCTAAGGTGGGGGGTCTGTGACAGCTGGTGATGGACTGTCCTCATCATTCAGCACAGTGCTTGCCACAAACTGTGGCCACCACATTGAATTGTCTCAAAGGGAAATGTTGTAAAATCTGAAGCTGAGGACCAGGGCAGTCTAGAAACGTTCTGTGGAGACTCCAGCATGTGTTAAATGTGAGGACCAAAGGGAGGTTTCAGACCTCTCAGTAATCATTATAAAATGTTTTCTATCTTAAAGAGCAGCCACTGGGACCCATGTCAACTTTATACTCAACATGTGCCGCACACAGTTCTGATCTTTGACCACTGATGCTATAAAGAGTGATACTGACACTGAGTGGACCTTGTGGTGGTCAGTGTCACCAGATCAAGGTGTTGATTAACAGGTGGCCGTTTCTCCAAGTCTGACCTGTTGTGGTGCTGGGGTCTGTGGGGAGTCCTGAGATTTCTCCAGGTGTTCATGCCTGGATGAGGATGAGGCAGGGGCAGTGCTGTTGTTCCCACTGGTCCATGGACGTATGTCAGAATCCCTACAGGAGTGATCCCAGGAATGCAGCGTGGCACTGTTCAGTAACAGCTTGCTCAGTCGACAGCCTCAGGAGGATTTGTGACCTTGGGATATGATAAATAAGAATTTGCAAACAGGAGATCACACTAGGCCCAAGGTGCTCGAGAGCTGCCCAACCTGTGGATACCCATCCTCCTCCCACGCCTGGCTCAGACAGAGTTGGGATGCCTGGGTTGTGAGTCAAAGTGTTTGTGTGTAGCTGAGTGATGGCTAGAGAAGAAGGTGCTCTCAGGACACTTAGGCTGTGGGGAAGAGGGAAGGACTGGGGAGGGGACCACAGGAGAAGAAGAGTATAACTTGAGTGAGTGACGGGGAGCACAACAAAAATAACTGTGACTGCATTAGGTCACCCTGTTCCTGGGACTGGGATCTCCGGATGTCCCTGTATTTACCCATTTAGGTCCACAGGCCACATCCTCCCAACAGGTCCCCACCCACTCTAATGCTAATGCATGTGCCTGAGTGTGCCCAGCTAGGTCTATGTCCCCTGCCTGCCCTGACTTCTGAGACCTTGCTCTGCAAATCTCTGTTCTCCTTAATGTATATACAATTTGAAAACAAGACTGCCTCGAAAAGGGCATTTCCTCTCCCATCCCCACCCTGACCCTGGTTTCTTCTCATCCTCAAAGGCAGCCAGTGGAGAATAGGACAGGGTTGGTGGGCGATGTGGAGTCAGCCCTGGCTAGAAGGACTGAAGGGTAAGTCAGTGTTGAGACCTGAGGGCCCAGAAGAACATTCTGGAAGGATGTCTTTGATTCCAAGGACCATCTTGGGTTTGAGTCCTGCTGAAGAGTCAAGGACTCTGGCACAGGGAGTAGGAGACTTGGGGCCAGCATGCCATTGGATGTTGGGAAGCAAGCAGGGCTCTTGGTCGTCATTGCTGATTCTCAGTTGGTAGGTGCAGATGGACTGCACCACACAACTGGAGATGATGGGGTCCTCACCTGAAGCCCAGCAGAGGTGGGGTCCTTGCCTGAAGCCCAGCAGAGGTGGGGTCCTCACCTGAAGCCCAGCAGAGGTGGGGTCCTTGCCTGAAGCCCAGCAGAGTGGAGCTGGGGTCCTTGCCTGGGCTTTGGAGAACCTGTGCTGGTCTGGCCACAAGGAGCATCCTTGCAGGCTTGTTTGTGCGTTCTTGTTGCTTCTTCAGACTGTTTCCTGGTAGATAGCACAAAGTAAACAAGTTGTATTGTAGGTCTGCCCGAGGGCTGTGGTTCCCAGCCTTCCTGACTAGGCTTCTTGGCTTTCTGTTTTCTAGAGTTTCTGGGGGCTGGGGTGGGGGGATGGCCATGGTAAGAGGATGCCCCAGCTGTCACCTGCACATTTTCTTGCTGGGGTGATGGGTGTTGACGATTTATGCCAACTTTCCATTTAGCTTTGTGAAGTGTGGTGTTCTCCAGCAATCCTTCCCCACAAAGAGTCTCTGAGAGAAAGTAGCTACACCGCGTAGGCAGGCCCGCCTACCACATTCTCCCTTGGCGTGGTGTGTCACCCTGGGCACTGTGGTCTTAGAGCTGAGAGCAGCTCAGTCGGCCTGGGACCCATGGAGACCCTGGCAAGGCACTGCTGGCTTGCGGCTCTTCCTTTGCCACCTGCGTGAGGTTCTTTTCATATCATACCTCTTCCTCATTATGGCCCGATGCTGGGAGGCCTTTGGTAGCAAGATGGGACGGGGCACAGCAGGCACACACTCCTGCCACAGTCTGTCTCTCGTGTCTGAGCCCTGCTTGTCAACATAGTTATCCAGGGTGGCTTGAGCTGCACCTGAGGTGGAGAAGCTTCAGCCTTTGTTCGAATCACAGATGTCATTCTAGCGCTCCCTTTAAAACGCCACCTCCAAGACCCCTGGACACCTGGCAGAGAAAACAACACCAGTGCTTGTCTGTCTGTCTGGGTCTCTGTCTGTGACCCCCCTGCCCCCACCTCACCCCCATGTTCTTGCTATACTCAACAAACAAGACTGCAGTGCTAATCACTGTTTCCATGGCATGAGAACCAAGAGGCATTTTAGATGAAAGGGAAGTGTCCACGCCGTCAGCTGTTGAAATCGAGACTAAAGACCACAGATGTCTTCTAGCACAGCTCCCTGTCTGAAGGGTGTGGCCCATGGCAGGACAAAGGACTGTGGTCTTTTGGGATTTTCCTTCTGTTGAAATAACATGGAGGGCGTAGGGGGACAGTGATGTGCTGATAACTGTCTGCCCCCCATGGCATCTTAAGATGTAACTTTCCAGTGGAAACTCCTATCCTGGGGCCACACCATCCAAGGTCCTGTGCTAAGCAGTGAGTGCTGCCCCTCAATCATGCCTTGTTTTCTCGTCCTCTCTTTGACCAGGTGAAGTGCTATCATAAGAAGTTCCGCTCGGCCACCCGCGATGTCATTTTCCGCCTGCAGTTTCACACTGGAGCTGTGCAGGGCTATGGACTGCTCTTTGGGAAGGAGGAGCTGGACAGTGCCTGTAAAGGTGTGTGGATGAAGCCCTGGGGGGTGTCAGAAGCGGTGTCCTTCCCTGTCTTCTTTCCCACTTGCTGGCAGAGAGACTGCCAGCGTAAGAGAAACAGAGTTGATCTGTGGGCAAACAACTCAGAGAAACCAGGCAGAGGTTTACACTCTGTGTGTGCGGCCCTGGCTGGGCTGGCTGGAAGACTCGGGTGTCTACAGTGTGATGTGTTCATTTTTCAGATGACCGCTTTCCTGACTACGGCAAGATTGAATTGGTCTTTTCAGCCACACCTGAGAAGATTCAAGGTAGGTTGCTGACAGGACATAGCCAGACTCTAACTCAGGCTGGAGACAGTTCTGAGCACCCTGAGCTTCTAGTAACACCTCCCATCTTGGCACATACTTGGGAATTTTTATTATACATGGTGGTGTTGCTTAGAGCCTTATGTAGTCTAGGCACGTGCCCGACTGCTAAGCTTGGTCTTAAATGATTTTCTTAAAATAACATAATGGATAATAAGCGGGAGGCGACTCTGAGACATTAGCTCTCATTTGGAAAAGACCGAAAGGAAGTTTGCTTTTCCCGTGGTGACTTTATTAGTGAACCCTTGCAGGCGAGGGTACTTGCTGGTGTCCCTGACAGTTTACCGCTACCTGTGAAGTTGTACCAAATGATTGCTTCTCCCCTCGGAAGAGGTGTTTGAAAAAAGGATTGCCAGTACAGTACAGTACACTGAATGTCTGTGTTTCAGAAAATACATTTAATAAGAGAGAATTATCCTGACTACTGTAGTGAAATGTTCCTGTCTGTCACCAAGCCTCCCGCCTATGTCCATTTCAATTATAACTTTTTTTCCTTCTTATTATTTTGGAACACAAATCACTTTTCAGTCTAGGTCAACGACCTCATCATCTGACCTCAGCCTCCCCAACGCTGAGATTGATTATCAGATGTTACCACGCCTCGCTACATGATAGCTTTTAACTCCATTTTTTAAAAAGATTTATTTATTTATTATGTATAGTGTTTTGTATGTCTGTACGCTTGCTGGCCAGAAGAGGGCACCAGATCTTATTACAGATGGTTGTGAGCCACCACATGGTTGCTGGGAATTGAACTCCGGACCTCTGGAAGAGCAGTCAGTGCTTTTAACCTCTGAGCCATCTCTGCAGCCCCAACTCCATTTTTAATTGCTTAGGACGTTATTACTCTTTTACCAGGCTCATTGTTACGGATTTAGGTAGGAAAGAACCATTAAAGCGAAGACTCACGTGTTATAATTTCCCATGACGTTTTGAAGCCCTGGGCTCTGCTAAGGCTAACACACCTGTTGTGCCCCCACAGGATCCGAGCATCTCTACAGTGACCAGGGGGTGATTGTGGACTACAACACAGCAGACCCTCTGATTCGGTGGGACTCCTATGAGAACATGAGTGCCGATGGCGAAGGTGAGCGCGGCCAGGGTGGAGAGAGCATGTTCACGGCTACCTCTGCAAAGCCCTGCTGCTGTTGCTTACAGTGTGACCATCACCCTGCACCCCACAGTCCAGAAGCTATACGTGTCTGACACTGTGGGATTTGAAGGCACTCACAAGGGTCAGACTGGTGAATTTAGATCAGGGCCTTTATGAAGCTGTAGCATGTTGAGGCTTGGTTGGAAGCTGGGAATGTGTAACGCTGGGGCCTGGTGCCTTCTATCCGTTTTTCCCATGTGTGCTGGGGAATGCCACGTTGCAGTCCGGGGTGACTTCTGCTTGCTGTATAGCCCCAGACTCAAATATTCTGGCACTGTTCAGGTTTGCTTGTTATTCAGGCTGTAGGTGGACGCCCAACTACTCAGCACAGTCTCCTGCCCACCCACAGAATGTACACTGTGACTCCCCGTGACCCCTAAAGCAGATAAAGAATAAAGGGACAGTCATCTCCTGGGGTTACTAAGAGAAGCCACTGGGGTTGATTGCTGAGAAGTGGGCATCCAAGTTTCTTTCTTTGTTCATGTTTTGCTGTTAACTTTAAAAACAGTGCGTTTTATTTGTTTATTGTGTATTGCAGGGAGGTCATGAGCATGCCACATTGTGTGTGTGTGTGTGTGTGTGTGTGTGTGTGTGTGTTTACGCCCTTGCATGCCATGTGTGGGGGAAGCTTGCAGGATTTGTTTTTTCTTTCTGTCACATGCATTCTGGGGCTCAAACTCTGGTTGTCTGTCTTGGTTTCACTAATCAAAGCCCTAGTCCTGGGCCTGGGAGGGCACAGGAGATGTTGACCAGGGAAACCATTGGTTAGATTAGAACCAGAGAGCCGTGTATTGTAGTAGCCAGTAAGTGGCTATGTGGAGGGGCCACCAACGACCAACTGGGACATCTCTCTGACTTAGTCTTTTATATGTTTAAACTACTTGACTGAGAAGTAGTCTTTCTCCTGCTGGGAGAAAGAAAATTGAAGTAATTTTTGTCAAGTTAGGTACATCCTGATGTCAGGGACCAAATACCAGTGTCTGGAATGACCCACACCAGCATCACAGCCTTGTCGGTCACTGGGCTTCCAGACCTGGGCAGATGGCCAGTGCTAGAGACACCAATTCTGTGTCCCCCTGCTTGTGCTGGGGAACTCACATGGCTTTCTGTGCAGCAGAGGGTGAAATTTCATCAGAAGGAATTGCTGGGGTGTCAAAGCCATCTGGACTAAAAGTTGTGCCCGAGGTAAAGGGTGGGTGCTCTGGGCATCAAAACAGGTGAAATCTGGATGTGAGCAGGCAGGTGTGGACACGGTGAACCTTTCTTTACGTGTCCTCACAGCGTGAATCATCCAGAAGCCTAATCCTTCAGGTGCCGGCACAGAAAGCAATTACAGCTGAGCACATTCAGAAAACTTTGCACTGTGTCTTAAAGACCCGTGCTGTACATAGGAATTGTTGAAAGTTCCCTGTTAAGTGTATTCGTACACGATTGTCAGCCCGTTGATGTCTGATAGTGTGCGGCACAGCTTTTCCCCATCAGCCACGCTTCTGCTGCCTTCCACTGGAGAAGAGTGATGGGGTAGCCCCTGCAGTAAGAGTAAGGGACGCTTTGGAGAACGGAATGGAATACCATCAGTACTGGGAGGGAGTGGGGATGGTGGCCAGGCAAACCACTGGCTAGATTAGACCAGGGAGCCAAGCAGTGATGTAGGTTGCTATACATACCGGCCACCAAAGACCAGGGGGATGTGGTCAAGAAGTCTTTCTGGAGTCATGGAAATGTCGTTCTTTATATGATGGAAGTCAAGTTACGTACATGTAGATGGAGGACTTTGACGGTCAGAGTGCCCCGAGAGTCTGTGTCCAAAGGCTCAGTTTAAAGGATGAAGGGCTTGTGATATCAGAGATTTCAGTCCAAGATCACCTTGTCTGCATCACTTTTGGCTGTGACAAATGCATCATTAGAAGAAGGGTGTGGCAGAGATCCTGACCTGGCATCGGGGAGGTAGAGGTAGAAAAAGAGGAAAAAGCGGGGGAGAGGATACAGCCTTTAAAGACAGACAGAGACTGCTTCCTCTACCAGACCCCTTTTTCTTGGCTGGTAGAGCCAGAGGCAACAGTCAGAGACCCACAGAAAGCTGTTAGGTGGCTGCTGGGAGCATCTTGCTACTGTTTCAGTCTGTCAGATGTAGTAACAGAATATCAGAGCATTGTGTCATACACAGCCCTGGGGGCTGGAAATGGGGATCAGTGTGCCTACAAGGTGGTATTTTGCTTAGGTCTGGTTGTATAGCACTGCTCTCTTGCTGTGTCTTCATGGCAGGAAGATGGTAAGAGAGCTGCCTGTAGTCTCTTTGATAAGGGCGCTAGTCCCATCACAAGGGTCCCTTCGAGGCTTAATCACCTGCTAATGCCATTCTCTGGATGATGGGATTCAACATACGGGATTTTGGAGGACCACAGGCATTCAAACTATCATAGATATTTGATGTGTTTGTTCAATGAATTATCGGAGAAACGATTTAATCTTTACTTGTCTATTCTGACAGCTCCCCTTGGGGTAATCTTTCTCTCAGTGTCTCCCAAGTAAGGCAGCATGATTAGGGGAAATGCTTGTAGTGTAGGATGTGTGGTTAGAAGTTCTGGGGCTTCACAGGTGGATAGTCTGCCTGGAAGGACATGATTGAAGTCCTCTGAGTTGGTTGGTTCTGGGTTTGAGTAGGCAAGGAGCTGGACTAAATATACACATACAGTTGTTGTGTATAAGTAAGCGTGCACACACAATTGTATATATATAAGTAAGCATGCACACACAGTTGTTGTGTATAAGTAAGCATACACACACAGTAGTTGTATATAAGTAAGTATACACACACAGTTGTTGTGTATAAGTAAGCATGCACACACAGTAGTTGTATATAAGTAAGTATGCACACACAGTAGTTGCATATAAGTAAGCGTGCACACACAATTGTATATAAGTAAGTATGCACACACAGTAGTTGCATATAAGTAAGTGCACACACAGTAGTTGCATATAAGTAAGTGTGCACACACAATTGTATATATATAAGTAAGCATGCACACACAGTTGTTGTGTATAAGTAAGCATACACACACAGTAGTTGTATATAAGTAAGTATACACACACAGTTGTTGTGTATAAGTAAGCATGCACACACAGTAGTTGTATATAAGTAAGTATGCACACACAGTAGTTGCATATAAGTAAGCGTGCACACACAATTGTATATAAGTAAGTATGCACACACAGTAGTTGCATATAAGTAAGTGCACACACAGTAGTTGCATATAAGTAAGTGTGCACACACAATTGTATATAAATAAGTATGCACACACAGTAGTTGCATATAAGTAAGTGTGCACACACAGTAGTTGCATATAAGTAAGTGTGCACACACAGTAGTTGCATATAAGTAAGTGTGCACACACAGTAGTTGCATATAAGTAAGTGTGCACACACAATTGTATATAAATAAGTATGCACACACAGTAGTTGCATATAAGTAAGTATGCACACACAGTAGTTGTATGTAAGTAAGTATGCACACAGTTAGTAGTTGACCACATTGTTTTTGAGTAGCACCAGGCCCTTGAAGAATGGCACATGCTCTAATGAAAATTATCCTGCCTCACATATCATAGATTTTCTTGGTCTGGGGTCCACTGGAAGCAATGCTTTAAGGTCGTGGACCTCTGTTATCGGTGGTAAATGCTAATATACCAATGCTAAAGTTAAGTTTAAGAAATTGAGTTAGGGGACAGGAACAGGAGAAAGGGTCAAAAGGGGTTGCATTTTTCTCGTGGAATCAATTTGTATTTATACATTTGTACTTTTTCAAAAATGCTGATAATCATTGAAGAAAATATTACTAGTGTTACCGCCTGTAAATAAAGCTCTTGACATTGCTATGCTTTAGGCTTCATTTTAAAATAGCACGTAAGAGGTTCATACTGGGCACTATCCCCTGCACTTTCATAGCCTTGGCTTTCTGCTTAACTCACCTGCCCGAGCATGCATCTATGAGCAGTTTCTCTCCTTGCTTTCCCATGTTCAGTTGCATTAGACAGGTCACCATAGTGCAAATAATTCTATCACTGTCACCCAGTGTGTCCTCTGTGTCTCCATTGTTGTACTCAAGACCAAGGTCAGCACATAATAGAAAGATCCATTCCTGTAGCTGGAAAGAGAGTCCTCTCCCTCAGTGCTCCAGTCCTCCTCAGCACCCCTCAGGCAGTGAGGCTGGTCTCTGTCTAACTCCAGGCAGTGCCTGGCTCCTGTCAGGGGTCTGCAATCCCTGGCTTGGGTTCCTGGACAAAGCCACCACCTTGGCGGGCAGAAAGCGAAATCTCAGTTGCTCTTGCCAGGGACCAAGCCTCAAGCGGCATTAGTCCTGACAGCTGTTGGAGCTTTGAGGAGCAAAGGGAAACTTGGCAGCCTTTGAAACATTTTCTTTTAGCTGAAAAATGGGGTATTACAATGCTCCCTTTTACCCTTACCCCTGCCTCTAGTTTCTACTGGTCCTAAAAAAAAAAAAAAAAAAGAGCTGAAATACTGGCTTAAGCTGCATTTATCTCTAGAAGCTCCCGCTGCCCTGAAATGAGCCCTCTACAGCTGCCTTCGTCAGGGCTCGTGTTAGGAAAGCTCCTTCTTTTATGTCTGAGCCTGATGCCCCACTTTCTATACTAAGAAAAGAGCCAGACCCTGAATCTGTTCCAGGGTACCCCATCTCTGGTATAGTGTTGTTAGTTATTTCTGTCCTCATGTGTGGACAGTGGTCTGCTATGCTAGTGAGCTGTAGGGCCATTGGCCTCTCAAGGGTCCTCACTATCACCTAGGACAGGGAAAAATGTTCCGGTGTGGCATGGTGCCAAGAAACTCTTGGTATGGGTATGGAAGGCTTTAGTAAGCCTGACTGTGTTATTCCATCTTCATAAGAAGCTGCGAGCCCCTCTCAGAGATAAAGGAAG